CTCTCTCTCTCTCTCTCTCTCTCTCTCTCTTACATAACTCAAATTTCCCTAATTTTTATTTCACCAACTCTTCTTCCCTTACTTATGAGAATAGGAACCAAATGGGACTCAAACCAAAAACGCAGAGAGAGAAAGAGAAGAGCCATCGCCAGAGGAAATAACCCCTTCTCACTTCGTTTGCCGCTCCCCAATCGCGCTCACACTCCTATGTGAACAGGGTTTTCCTTTTATAGGGAAACCCTAGGGCGAGCTCTCTTCAATCAGGTGAGATCCAACTAGATCTCACCACATCTTCGCAAGCGAACACATCACGAGCAGGCGAGCTCGTGATCATACAGGCAAGCTCGAACCAAACTCGCCCACAGGCGAGCTCCATCCTCGCCTCTCCAAGACCCACAGGCGAGATCCAAAAGTGACAGGCGAGCTCCACGATTCCAAGCATGCGAGCTTCCTCGCCTGTCCACCCTCGCCTGAGCACCTCGTCCTCGCCTACATGCGAGCTCATCAAGTCTGTGCCTTAGGCGAGCTTTCTCACCTCCATCAGGTTCGTTCTTCTAAAAATCTACACCTCGGTGAAATTTTCCCAAAACTGAGCCAACACCAATACCAACCAACTGTCTCACTTGTTGCGTCCAGTACGAAGTGGAATCAAACCACAACAACAGACTCAATCCACAACAAGTCGAGACCCAAACAATAATGTGAATACTCTCCAAATATCGGTATCAACTCACTAAATCGGCTGCATCATAAATGACTGCCTACGTATCCTCTTGCCCAAGGAATCAAGCATTCACGTAGTTCACCTAATGGCCTCCAAAGGCCCTCAACAATGAAGGATGTTCAACAATTCCAAACAATGACCAATTTTCACTCTAGTGACAACTTTGGTCAACATATCTGTCGGATTATCCTTTGTGTGGATCTTCTCCAATCTAACGTTGCCATCATCTAATACGTCTCGAACAAAATAGAATCTGACATCAATGTGCTTTGTGTGGGCATGATACACCTGATTATTTGCCAAATAGATAGTTGACATTCTATCACAATGTACTCTGATGGTATCATGTGCAATCCTCAAGTCATCCAATACCTCCTGCAACCACAAAGCCTCCTTCACAGCTTCAGTCAATGCTATATACTCTCCTCCGTAGTGGAGAGAGCCACTGTAGACTGAAGTGTGCATCTCCAATACACTGGTGCTCCTGCAAATGTAAATACATATCCTGTAGTAGATCGGCGCTTGTCAAGATCCCCGCATAATCAGAATCCACATAACCAATACAATCCTGCCCATTCTTCTCATTCTTCTCGAATACCAAACCAACATTCACGGTACCTTTGATATATCGTAGAATCCACTTCACGGCCTCTCAATGACCCTTCCCGGGGTCGAGCATGTATCTAGATACCATGCTCACAATCTGTGACAAATCTGACCTTGTACACACCATCGCATACATCATGCTATCCACAACATTGACATATGGAACTTTGGACATGTATTCACGGTCCTCAACTTAAACAGGTAACATCTTAGCTGATAGCTTAAAGTGGGGAGCTAATGAAGTACTCACCGCCTTGGCATTGCCATCATAACTGAATTTCTTCAGCATCTTCTGCAAGTAACTCATCTGTGTTAACTTCAATCTCCCCTTCACCCTGTCTCTCTCAATCTCCATATCCAATATCTTCTTTGCTTCTCCAAGGTCCTTCATGTCAAATTCGGATGATAATTCCTTTTTCAACTTCCTAATAGCTGAAGAGTTTCTGGAGCAATGAGCATATCGTCAACATATAACAACAAATAAATATACTCTCCATCCAGTAGCTTGTGCATGTACACATACGGGTCATATGGGCTCCTCGTGTACCCTTGGCCAATCATGAAACTATCAAATCTCGTGTACCATTATCGTGATGATTTCTTCAATCCATAAAGAGGTTTCTTCAGTTTACATACTAAATCATCCTTGCCTAGAGCTTTAAAACTCATAGGTTGTGACATATAGATCTCCTCTTCTAAATCTCTATGTAGAAAGGTTGTTTTCACATCCATCTGGACCAAATCCAAATCCAGCTGTGCTACCAACGCTAATAGTATTCTTATCGATGGGTGTTTTACAATAGGTGAGAATACCTCGTTGTAATCTATGCCCTCAAGTTGGGCATACCCTTTGGCAACCAATCTGGTTTTGTATCGAATGTCCCCATAAGAAGCTCCATCTTTCTTTGCATACACTCACTTGCATCCAATAGCCTTCTTACCCTTCAGTAGCTTTGCAAGTTCCCAAGTGTCTTTCTTATGAAGAGATTGTATCTCTTCCTCCATAGCTTCCCTCCACCTGATTGAGTCAGGGCTTGACTTTGCTTCCTTATATGTAGAATGAACCAAATCACCAACGATCTCACCTGATAAAGCATATGCAACCATCACGTCATCATATCTAGCTGATAGACGAATATTTTTTCTTGGTCTATTAGTTGCAATGGACTCCTAAACATGACCATGTTCCTGAGTCCCAACATCCACTGTATCCTCTACTTGCCCATCTATCATATCATCTCCTCTTAGTGTCACTTCTGTAGGAGTCTTAATAGATACAGTGCTATCTGAAGTCTGTGGAGTCACATCATCCTCCACCTGTTGTGATACTCCACTAGTATGGCCTTTCTCTACCTGCTGAGGAATCTGAGACCTCATCATGTGAGTCTCATCAAACGTGACATCTCTGCTAATGATCATCTTCTTGTCTTGTGGATCCCATAACTTGAAGCCTTTAACTTCATCTCTAAAGCCCATAAAAACTGCTTTTCTAGCTCTCGGATTCAATTTCCCATCATTCACATGATAGTAAGCTGGACACCCGAATATCCGGAGCAACTCATAATCACTAGTCGCTGAACCAGACCATTTTTCCATAGGAGTCTTTCCATGTATCGTAGTGCATGATAACCTATTCACAAGATGGCTTGTATAAACCAACATTTTGGCCCAAAAAGGTCTAGCCAATCCACTCTGTGAGAGCATACAACGCACCTTCTCCAGCAAGATATGGTTCAATCTCTTGGTCACCCCATTTTGTTGCGGTATCTCCCTAACTATGAAGTGTCGACTAATGTCGTGATCCCAGCAAAACTGCAAAAACGGATCACTCTTGTACTTACCACCATTATCCATATGGAGTACCTTCACCTTTCTACCTGTCTGCAGCTACACTTTCTTCTTCCACTCCACAAATATATCAAGGACCTCGTGTTTATGCTTCATAGGGTATACACAATTTCTCCTGGAATAATCATCAATAAAAGTGACAAAATAATTAACCCCACCAAGAGATGTGTTCTTGGAAGGACCCCAAACATTAGTATGAACATAATCCAATATATCTTAGGTATTATGAATTGCGGTGCTGAATTTTACTTTTGTCTTCTTCCTAAGTATGCAATGTTCACACAGCTCTATCTTGCAGGTCTTTGCACCCTTCAATAGCCCCTGTTTTGCCAATACCTGCAGGGACTTATCACCAGTGTGTCCCATCTCATGTGTCATAAGCTGGTAGTATCCTCCTCTGTAGTAATTGAAACTGCCAGACCCCCTATTACTGTCTTGCCCTTCAAGTAGTAAAAGTTGTTTTTCCTAACACCTCTCATCACCATCATGGGCCCCTTTGTGACCTTCAGAGTTGCATTCTCCAATATCACATTATAGCCAATTGCCTCCAAAGTTCTAAGTGAAATGATATTCTTCGTCAATTGAGGAACGAATCTCACTTCCTTCAACTCCCTAATCACCCTGTCACACATCCTGATCCGGACTGTACCAATACCACTGATAGGGCATACGTGGTCATTTCCCAAAAGTACAACATCCCCCCTCTTTCCAGCTCCTCAAAGCTGAAGAACCAATCCCTCCTAGGGCAAATATGATATGTAGCACCTGAATCCAACATCCACTCCGTAGAGTCGACATAACAAACTAATGGTAATGTTGGGCATGAGTAGCCCGAAGAATCTAAATATGAATTGTCGCCACTAGCATTGGCAACATTCACCTCTGAAGCTTGTATGGCTTCCTTTTATTCTTCCCGGCTTTGTCCTTCAACTTGGGGCAGTCGATCTTCCAATGTCCTTATTTACAAAAATGACATTGATTCCTACCAACACTCTTATAGCCACCTCCTTGCTTCGACTTGGAGCGATTAAATGGACAGTAGTTTCGACTACGGTCTCTCACTGCCAATGCATCTCCCAATGCCTTCTCGGAGGATTCACCATCTCTCTTCCTCAACTCATAGTTAATCAATGCTGAGGTCACCTCCTTATAGCTGACAATGGTTCTACCATTGATCATCATAAGGACAAAGGTACCAAAATCATCCTCTGGCAATGAACATAGCAACAACATCGCCTTATCTTCATCCTCTACCATGATATCTACATTGGCCATATCCGATAGCAATTTCGTGAAGTTATTAACATGTTCTCTAATGGAAACTCCCATTTTCATCTTGAATTGGTAAAACCTCTTCTTCAAGTGAAATCGATTCTCAATGCTCTTCGTAAGATACTTCTCATTGAGTGTTTCTCACAACCGTTTCGCCGACGTCTCGTTCATCACATCATGGATCAAATCCGACATCAAACATGATCGAATAACCTCACATACTCTACTATTCATTTTCTTTCAAATCTTATCCTCCATATCCTCGGGTTTCTCTTGTAATTCAAGTCTCCTTCAAATTTTGGGCGTCTAATGCATCCATCACTTGACATCTCCCCAAACCGAAGTTTATATTGCCATCAAATTTTTGAACATCAATTTTTGTATTATTAATGCTCAACTCTTGTATCGCCTTTGAAAGAGACGATCCTAATGTACTTGTTTCACCCATGTTGATAATTCAATCTCTTCAAATGAGAATCCAAACCCTAGCATTCTTCTCCAAAACGAACCCCAAGTCAAACCCGGAGCTCTGATACCACTTGTGGTGCGTAACGAAATCGAAGACACACAATTACAAATGATTGGAACACTAATCAACAACCAGAACAAGTAACACAAATGCAAGACACCAAATTTTACGTGGTTCAGCAAATCTACCTACATCCACGGAAGCGGCATAATAATTTCTTATTAATAATAAGAAATTATAAACAAGAGAGAAGATCTCAAACTTGTGATCTCTCTATCAAATAGGAGGTGATTTTAGATTAAAATCACCTCTCAAACGCACACACTCTCTCTCTTACCTAACTCAAATTTCCCCAATTTTAATTTCACCAACTCCTCTTCCATTATTAATGAGAACAGGAACCAAATGGGGCTCAAACCAAAAACGCAGAGAGAAAGAGAAGAGCCGCCGCCAGAGGAAATAACCCCTGCTCACTTCGTTCGTCGCTCCCAAATCGCACTCACACTTCTCTGTGAACAGGGTTTCCCTTTTATAGGGAAACCCTAGGGCGAGCTCTCTTCAATCGGGTGGGATCCAGCTGGATCTCACCACATCTCCGCAGGCGAACACATCACGAGCAGGCAAGCTCGTGATCATACAGGCGAGCTCGAACCAAACTCGCCCACAGGCGAGCTCCATCCTCGCCTCTCCAAGACCCACAAGCGAGATCCACGAGTGACAGGTGAGCTCCACGATTCCACACAGGCGAGCTTCCTCGCCTATCCACCCTTGCCTGAGCACCTCGCCCTAGCCTGCAGGCGAGCTCATCAAGCCTGCGCCTCAGGCGAGCTTTCTCACCTCCATCAGGTTCGTTCTTCTACAATCAGGGTTCAAAATCTTTGTCAAGGAAATATACATGTAAAGTCGTGAAGTTGCACACCTGTTTCAAATAAATAGTCTTTGTCACATAACATCGGCAACGAGTACAAACTTAGCATTAGTGCCAAATACTGGCAGCATGTTAACATTCCAAATAAATTATGCATAGTTTGTATATAAGAAATTTTAGTGAAGACACTGATTATGACCAAATATGGGATTGTAAACATGTATGCAATATATTACATAGTATAGGACTATAACAGGTCAACGTTTATTGCAAGTTTCACACCTCACGAACAAGCAAAGAAAACATGATTCTGCATTACATTAAGTTCATTTCTAAGGGATTTTAAACTAACTGGACGAACAAGCAAAGAAAACATGATTCTGCATTACATTAAGTTCATTTCTAAGGGATTTTAAACTAACTGGAAAGTATTACTTATCCTTAATCTCAACGCATTACATTAAGTTCATTTCTAAGGGATTTTAAACTAACTGGAAAGTATTACTTATCCTTAATCTCAACTAACTACCACGTCGGGACTTTAGGCAAACCTCCAATTTTTCTTTATGTATAAAGGAGGCATTTCTCTTTGTATATATGCCAAAGTTGATTGCATACCAACTGAAAGTTTCTATTTAAATAAAAAAAAACCTTTGAAAAACCCCCCACAACCCACCAAGACCTCTCGTTTAGGCATTCAAATTGGTCTGGCAAAAGAAAACTATATCCAGTTCAAGGCAAAAGATAATATGCTCATTGTTCAGTTCAATTATCACGTCACCAAACTGTTCTTCGAAGCACGATCACCAGCTAGCATTCAATACCCGTTAGTTGTACAATGCATTATGTCCAATTCAAATGCCAAGTACGCTCAAAATTTCATTGTTCATTTGTGAACATATGCTCAATTTTGACAAATTTGCAACTGCCTAAACAGAGTGAAGTGCATTTGGATGAGCATAATCAGCCTTGTTCCATGTAACCAAACTGATTTCACTCAAAATTGAGAATGAGAATAACCCCAGGACTGCTAACTTACCATAAACAGATAAAAGTTACAAAGAACAATGTAATCTCATTTCTGGAAAAGTGGCTTGATTTTTTAATAAATAGTCTCCAATTCATCAAATAAAGAAAATAACCATGATGCATTTGTCTTTTTCTACCGAACACTGAATGTGCATCATAATGTGCTGGTCTTACTTGATTTTTTTCAACTTCAAAACAATTTTTCTGTGGGTTCTCCATACACTAGCAGTACAATACGTAGAAGGATATGTACGAAGTTACTACCCACGCACACACTTGGAAAGTTTTACATACTGCAATACATTTAAAGCGCCCAAAATGCATTACTAAAAGTTCAACGAATTAAATTGTTGCACCGTAAACAAAAGAAGAAACTAATCAACACCTAAAATCTTCTAAATTCTCATTCAAAGAGTTATTTCTGCGTAGGACGTCCACCTAGTGATATGATAGACATTATAGGTGGGGGTATGTGTCACGAACCGCCTCATTTTGGCTCAATTGGGTGCATTTGAACTCACTTATTCATGGTTGGGTCCATGAAGATCCTAGGGTTTTCTAGAGTTTTCTTGCATAATTAAAGGTATGATAAATATCTTGTATCTAGAAGCTTCTAGGAAAATCCCATGTAAATATCTAGGGAGATATTTTAGGAGAAGAGTCTAGAGACTCAATCTTAACCATTGATTGTAAGAACAATCTAGAAGGCTAATCATAGCCATCCATTGTAAGCTAGCCTTGCCTATAAATAGGGGCTAAGGCATTTCATTTGTATAAAAAGCAAGAGTTGCTAAGCAATAAAGCAATAAGAGCTTCCACTTCCACTCTTGAGTGTTCTCTTCCCTTCTTTTGAGTGAGTGTTTGAGGGATTAGGCTGAATTAGCCATTCTGGTGAAAGAAAGAGTGACTAAGTGCCGCACGGGTTTGAGTGAGGTTTGTGGTGAAAGAATCAGCCCGTGACATTTGGTATCAGAGCAAAGGTTCGGAAGTGATAATGTCGAGCTCCGACCTTCGTTCCGAAGTACTTGGTGTGGTGGATCCGAAGGATGTTCCAAGGCAACGTAGGGATAAATCTCGTGACATCATGACGACGTTGGAGGCACGGTTGGCTAAGGTGGAGCTTACCGTAGCGGATAAGATGGAGGCTTTCGACGAGCGCATCGAGAAGTTGGAGTCTGCAGGAGACGAACTTCGGGAGGAGATGCAATCGGCCTTGAATTCCACTGTCGACATGCTACAGCAAGGGATTACATCCGTACGTGAGGAGTGTGCATTCTTACGGAGCCAAGGAGAAATGTTCCTAAAGGAGATGGCTGAATTTAAAGAAAAGTTCAACCAATATGATGCTATCTTGGCAACTCGAGGTATGACTTCACAACCTTTCATGGCTAAAGATACTCCTAAACCGAAGCCGTATAAAGGAGCTAGGGGTGCCCGGGAGATTGATAACTTCCTATGGAACATGGAAGTATACTTCAATGCTGCCGGATATAGGGATGATGCAGCCAAGCTCCAAGCCATACCTCTATATCTCGAAGACATCGCTACGGTGTGGTGGCGTAGATGATGCGAGGATATGAAAAAGGGTACGTGCTCCATTACTACTTGGGAAGAATTCAAGGTAGATCTTGTCACGACCCCAATTTCCGAACCTCAAAGGAATATTAGAGCTGGACTAAACCTGTGAAAAGTCCTCCAAAATATACATTCATTAAAAGAACACTAAAACAAATCTCTTCATTGAACTAAAACCAACAACAAATATTCTCTATAATCCCAAAAGTCAACTAAGCCAATTAACTTGATAAAAATAAATATTCCTCAACTCCAAATAAATCTCAACCTAAAGAAAGAATCTCATTATTACAAACTCTCAATTCATCATCTAAACATTAAAGACTTTATTTAACCTTCGCCTAGAAGACAATAACAATCTCGAATTATTCTTTGCTTCGTTCTAAGAATTTGACAATCCTCAATTCCACCTAATCCCGAGTCTCTGAAAAGAATAGAAATAACACAATGAGTTCACAACTCAATAAGTGGATAAATTCATACATTAAACACTGGTTTTGCAAAACTAAAATATTACAACGAGAAATAAACAAAATATAAGAATGATATAGAATCATTAATGAACTCTAGTATTTGATACAAATATTTAAGAAAATTAGAAATCATGGAATAGAAATAAGCATGCTACGTCTCAATGCGGTCAACACTTCATACTCCGGTTGACTCGGTAAACCACACAATTATTAAGCCCGTGGTTCCGAGACGGTGAGACCCAATTTAGGCTCTTAGCGCTAAAATAAAACCTCATAGAGGCACATTGAGCCCTGTTTTAATAACTTGCTTATATCCGACATATACCGGTATATTGACTTGAGATGCGTATGTTTAAAAAGAAAAATGAACAAAGTTCATATAACCAAATATGTTATACAAAAATACCAAAGGCCAAACAATAGTGAAATCAATCAACTATATATGCATCTTAACCTACTACTATATGAAAAGACATAACAATTGACAAAGAAAATAGGCATAAGCTTATACCAAATATCCATGATCGTCACAAAATCAAACTAGTCAACAAATGATATACCAGTAAATCATACGAAGGATATAATCCATCAGGAAACAAATCCACATATACTTACTATCATTTTGTAGGAAAAATACGCAATGCACAATGCATAAATTTACCACTTACTCAAACCCAAAAGACTATCGGAATACCACTCACGACGTCTCCTCGAAGTCACTTGGAACCCTAGAAAAAAAAACATCCAAACAACGATCAATGCTATTGTCTATCCTTAGACTTGATAACCTATTAAATAATCAAAATACATACTAGCTAATAATACTCTATCCAAACAAATATATAAAATCTATAAGATCCCATAGTCCATACTCAACACTAGGCATCCATATATATATCTATTTATCTATCTATCTATCTATCTATCTATATATATATATATATATATATATATATATATATATATATATATATAGGTTAATTTATTTTTATATTAGAAACTTTGGTCTGGAATGTTAGGCTAAGAAACAATTGACTTTCATGACAAAAGCAATGAAGAAAAAACAACAGCAGCAAGGTGTTGCATGCTATCAAGAGCATTACCATGGCCGACCACAAAATAAAACCAAGTTAATTGATTGTACATAAAAATTCAAACCAAACCCTAATACATTCATAGATTATTCTTTCACCAATAGACATACCTTCATTATCGTGCAAACAACCATTGCTCACTCTCTTTCAACGCACGGATCCAACAAATTTTTTTTTCTTCTTTTGCTATTCTTTTGCCGTCTTTTGTTTTATTCTCTTGTCGTTTCTTTCTACGGCTTCTCAAAAGTCAACAACTAGGGTTTTCCTCTATTTATTAGTTTTCCATTAATACCAATAAACCCTTTAACAATTTTCCATTTTCAACAAACCCCTCGGCAGATTTAAATTTATTGCTATATCTAGTACTTTCTTTCTTTGCATAAAAGTCCTTTGTAACTTAATATTCATAATATAGTCTCATTATCAATAGAAAATTTTTGGGATATTACAGATCTAAAGCGGCAATTCTACCCGGAGAATGCTGAGGATGAGGCACGAGGTAAACTCTGTCGCCTTACTCAAAAAGGTTCAATTCGTGATTACGTGAAAGAATTTTCAGAGTTGCTGCTGGAGATTCCGGACATGGGCGAGAAGGACTCTCTATTCTCGTTCATGGATGGCCTCGCGGGATGGGCCAAGATGGAGTTACAAAGGCGTGGCGTTCAGACTCTGGCCCAAGCAATGCAAGTAGCCGAGTCGCTGATCGAGTTCAAGAAGGTGAACAACTCGTCCAAGCCAAAGGATAAAAAGGGTATGCCTACTAAAGGTGGGGGAGAGAAGGATAAGCCATCCAAAGAGTTCCCACCTAAGTCAACGTCCGAGAAGGGTAAGTCCTATGACAACTCTAAAGGAGGTGATCGTTCAAAGAAGTTGGCATGCTACTTCTGCAGCGGTCCGCATAAGGCTATGGACTGTCCCAAGAGGGCCAATCTTGCGGCCCTAGTTCAGAGAGAAGAGGAGAAGCAAAATGAGGAGACCCGAATCAACTCACTTCGCCTTCTCAATGCGATCAAGGCAAAGGTAGATACAAGGCCTCGAGGGGCGATGTTCGTCGAGATAATCATTTCAGGCAAGACCTTCAAGGCCCTTCTGGATACAGGTGCTTCTCATCTCTTGGTTTCTCACGATGTTGCTAGTAGGTTGAATCTCAAGATCACCAAGGGAGGGGGTGTCATCAAAGCTGTCAATTCAAACCCCACTCCTATCGCTGGCGTGGCTCAAAAGGTGGATGTGAACATCGGAGAATGGTGCGGCCAAGAAGACTTGACGGTCGTGACCATGGATGACTTTGACGTAGTGCTTGGCTTGGAATTTTTGGATAAGGTGAAGGCCGTGTTGGTTCCATACAGCAAGGCGTGCACTGTTCCGATCAAGCACGAGAGTGTGACTTCTAAAATGCTCTCAGCCTTACAAGTGTCCAAGGGCGTCCGTCGACATGAGCCAACTTTCATTGCCACAGCTAGGGTGGAGGAAGACTCACACCAGGGAGAAGACGTGCCCAAGGAAATCCAAAGTGTCTTGGAGGAGTACCAAGACATCATGCCCGCAAAGCTGCCAAGTAAGCTCCCACCTAGGAGAGAGGTGGATCATAAGATCGAGCTCGAGTCAGGAGCTCGTCCCCCAGCCATGGGTCCTTATCGCATGGCGCCACCGGAGTTGGAGGAACTTCGGAAGCAATTGAAAGAGTTGCTGGATGCTGGGTACATTTGCCCGTCCAAAGCTCCATACGGTGCCCCGGTATTGTTCCAGAAGAAGCATGATGGGTCATTGCGGCTATGCATTGACTACCGAGCACTAAACAAGATCACGGTGAAGAACAAGTATCTCATCCCTTTAATTGAGGACTTATTCGATAGATTGGGGCAGGCAAGGTACTTCACTAAGCTTGACTTGCGCTCGGGATACTATCAAGTGCGGATTGCTGAAGGAGATGAACCAAAGACGACATGTGTGACTAGGTACGGCTCTTATGAATTCTTAGTTATGTCGTTCGGTCTTACCAATGCCCCAGCTACCTTCTGCACTATGATGAATAAAGTATTGGAGCCTTTCTTAGACCATTTCGTGGTGGTCTACTTGGACAACATTATGGTCTATAGCCAAACCATGGACGAGCATGTGGAACACTTGAGGCAGGTGTTCCAGGCGCTTAGAAGTAATGAGCTCTATGTGAAGAGAGAAAAGTGCTCGTTCGCACAGGAGGAGGTGGTCTTCTTAGGCCACATCATTGGAGGAGGAAAAATCAGCATGGAACAAGCTAAGATACGAGCCATACTGGAGTGGGAGCCTCCTACCAAGGTGACGGAGTTGCGATCATTTTTGGGTTTGGTGAACTACTATCGAAGATTCATCAAGAGCTACTCAGCATTGGCGGCTCCACTGACAGACTTGCTGAAGAAGAATCAGGCATGGGATTGGAGTCCAAAATGTCAGGAGGCATTTGAAGGTTTGAAGAGAGCTGTGACGGAGGAACCAATTCTCGCCCTTCCTAACTTTAACAAGCCTTATGAAGTGCACACGGATGCGAGTGACTTCGTAATTGGAGGGGTGTTGATGCAAGAAGGACACCCCGTGGCCTATGAGAGTCGGAAGTTAAACGACACCGAGAAGCAGTACACCGTCCAAGAGAAGGAGATGACGGCCGTGATCCACTGCCTTAAAGTTTGGAGGCATTACCTACTTGGGTCCAAATTTGTAGTGAAGACGGACAACGTGGCCACCAGCTATTTCCAGACTCAAAAGAAGCTATCTCCTAAGCAGGCACGATGGCAGGACTTCTTGGCAGAGTTTGACTATGTGCTCGAGTACAAACCGGGAGGCACGATGGCAGGACTTCTTGGCAGAGTTTGACTATGTGCTCGAGTACAAACCGGGAAAAATCAACTTAGTGGCAGATGCGTTAAGAGTTTGACTATGTGCTCGAGTACAAACCGGGAAAAATCAACTTAGTGGCAGATGCGTTAAGCCGAAAGGCGGAACTTGCTGCTATGGTGAGTCATCCTCAGAACACCTTACTTGACCGAATTAAGGAGGGTTTGTCTCATGATCCTACAGCCAAGAACATGATGGAGTACGCAAAAGAAGGCAAAACTCGAAGATTCTGGTTAGATGGAGACATACTTTATACAAAAGGGAGACGGGTGTACGTGCCATTGTTCGAAAATTTAAGGCGGGAGATCCTTAAAGAATGCCATGACTCTCAATGGGCGGGACATCCAGGTGTGCATAGAACTCTAGCTCTTGCAGAAGAGACATATTATTGGCCTCGCATGAGGGATGCTGTTGAGGCCTATGTGAAGACTTGTCTTGTGTGCCAACAAGACAAGACGGAGCAGAGAGCACCAGCCGGACTGTTAGAGCCATTACCTATTCCGGAACGACCTTGGGAGAGCATTTCCATGGACTTCATCATGGGTCTGCCAAAGTCAGATGGATGCAATATTATTATGGTGGTGGTTGACCGGTTCTTCAAATACTGTATTTTTATTCTAACCCCAGCTAAGTGTCCAGCCGAGGTAGCAGCACCACTATTTCTGAAGCACGTGGTAAAGTATTGGGGGCTACCAAAATCCATCGTAAGCGATCGGGATGGCCGCTTCACAGGGAGATTCTGGACAGAGCTCTTCAAACTCATGGGATCAGATCTAAACTTCTCCACTAGCTTCCATCCTCAGACAGATGGTCAGACGGAGCGGGTAAATGGCTTGTTGGAGGTATACTTGAGACACTATGTGAGTGCCAATCAGCAGGATTGGGCGAAGCTACTGGACATAGCCCAATTCTCCAACAATTTGCAAAGGAGTGAGTCTACCGGGAGGAGCCCATTCGAGATCGTCACAGGTCAGCAACCACTCACTCCAAATGCTATTGCTACAGGTTATAAGGGAAATAGCCCAGCCGCTTACCGATTTGCTAAGGGGTGGCAAGATCAGAATGAATTGGCACGCTCGTGCTTGAATAAGGCGGCCAAGAAGATGAAGAAATGGGCCGACAAGAAGCGAAGACATATGGAGTATCAAGTTGGAGACTTGGTTCTTATCAGGCTTTCTACATTGGATCGACATAAAGGGCTACACAAGAGCTTGATACGCAAGTATGAGGGCCCATTTCTGATCGAGAAGAAAGTGGGGAACGTAGCTTACAGGGTAAAGCTTCCTCCAACCGTGAAGTATCATCCGGTCTTCCATGTGAGTATATTGAAGCCATATCATCAGGATGCAGAAGATCCAGATAGAGGAAAGTCTAGTCGAGCGCCAACAGGGATTCGCATAGAGTTCGACAAGGAGGCCGAAGAAATTCTTGCGGATAGGACGGTTCGTGAAGCAAACAACCACCCAAGGTTAGAGTACTTTGTGAAGTGGAAAGGCTTACCCGACAGTGAGAACAGTTGGGAACCGGCACGATCCTTATGGCAGTTTGAAGACTTGATCGAGAAGTTTCGCCAGGAGAAGACTCAGCGATGAGGGCATCGCTCGGATAGGTGGAGGAGAATGTCACGAACCGCCTCATTTTGGCTCATTTGGGTGCATTTTGACTCACTTATTCATGGTTGGGTCCATGAAGATCCAAGGGTTTTCTAGAGTTTTCTTGCATAATTAAAGGTATGATAAATATCTTGTATCTAGAAGCTTCTAGGAAAATCTCATGTAAATATCTATGGAGATATTTTAGGAGAAGAGTCTAGAGACTCAATCTTAACCATTGATTGTAAGAACAATCTAGAAGGCTAATCATAGCCATCCATTGTAAGCTAGCCTTGCCTATAAATAGGAGCTAAGGCATTTCATTTGTATAAAAAGCAAGAGTTGCTAAGCAATAAAGCAATAAGAGCTTCCACTTCCACTCTTGAGTGTTCTCTTCCCTTCTCTTGAGTGAGTGTTTGAGGGATTAGGCTGACTTAGCCATTCTAGTGAGGGAAAGAACTAAGTGCCGCACGGGTTTGAGTGAGGTTTGTGGTGAAAGAATCAGCCCGTGACATATGCATGTATGCTTGCGTGAGTGTTTCTGTGCGTGTGTCATGCTATGGAGTGATTGATCTGCAACTTTATGGAACATGTTAAAATAAATGATGATCGACCTTGAAATTGCTACACTACAACAATTAATACTAAACAAGCCTTAAAACATGTGTAAATAAAACCATCATATTTGGAAGCTTCCCATACATTAATCTGATAACAGGACGTAGTATACTCTTTAAACTAAACATTTGGAATATTTAGATAACCAAAGGATTGATGTCTTTTCATTTCACGCGTTCTGATTTATTTCACCATTCTGTTGCCGTTGAAGTTTGAACTTACACCTGCCTTAAAGCTGAGTTATCATCGCTATAAACAAAACCCATATGCATTTCATTTTGATTTCAATCCATTTTTTTAAAAAAAAAACAATCTTTGACCAGATTTTGGACGTCAACAACGAAAATATTATAAAAAACACCCAAAATTTTCCATCTTTTAACGAAATTAAAAACTACCTTAAGGCTCTCCACAACTCCAGGAACCACCTCATGCTCCAACCCCGAGTACTCCCCCTCGGTATTCTCCCTTATCACCACAATATCAACATTCTCATGTCGGCTCGGCAACCCAGGCAAGTTGAAGCAATTGACAAGCGAGGCATACAAATCCAGCTCCCTCCTCAGCTGCATATCCAGCGAGTTCACCCCTCCGCCGACCGGTGTCGCCGCCATTGAACTCGAGATTGGCGAGATCTAGGGTTAGGGTTTGGTGAGGTCTCTTGAGGTGAGATTTGGAGCATGAGGTGAGATATTGGCAAGCGGTGGAGGAGGGGAAAGTTTGAGAGAGAAATAAATATTTTGGTGGAGGAAGGAGGTCTGAATGGGGGATAAAACTTTTTTTTTTGGTGGGGGGGGGGGGGT